AGAGGAGTGTGACCAGCAGCCATGCTGGGCACTGGGAAAGTGGCAGGGGCCCCTCACAGCTTCACCAGACTCCTCTGGGTGCTCGGATGGGAGGGGCAGGGCAGGGGGGGAGGGGGTCACTGGAGCCAGTCTGGGTGTTCGGATGGGGGTGGCAGGGCAGGGGGGGAGGGGGGCCGCTGGAGCCAGTCTGGGTGCTCGGATGGGAGGGGCTGGGCAGGGGCTGGGAGGGGTAAGGGGGGATCGCTGGAGCAGGTCTGGGAGTTTCATTCTCAGGAGAGCCAGAGCTGTGTGGGGCAAGGATGGGGAGGGACCCGCACACAATCTGCTCGTTCACCAGGGAAAGGACAGACACACAGAAAAGGACAGACACACCGAGATCTTTGTTCAATGGGCAGCAGCAAAGAAATCTCAAGACCACAGCTAAGATCCCACAGGTCGGAGGTCTGAGCAGGGTCCAGGAGGGCAGGAACCCACAGCGCCTCCCGGAGCGCTGAGCGAGGGGCTGGGTATCCCTCCCTCCTTCTCTTGTAGGGCTCCCCAGGGTCCTGCAGGTTATGATATGCTTCGTTGTCTATTCCCCACCCCTTTCAAATTGGCTTCCTAAAGAAAAGATTAAACTTTAGAAATATTCATTAAGAAAAACTTGAAATTTTTTCCTAAGACAGTTTTTTCCTAAGTGGTAAATGAGACAAAGAAAATTTAAAAAGAGACCACTTTCTCTAGTTTAAAAGCAAATATGTTTTAAAAGCACCAATTAAAGTAGAAAAAGTTGCCAAGAGTGCTCTCTACAAGTCTCTGCTGCTAAAAAGAAACTGGGACAGTAAAAGACAAACCCTTTGGAAAATGCTTACACACAGTCACATATACAAGGGCCTGTGGTACGCCACAATGGCAGAGAAAAGGCATAAATACATCACTAAAGATAAAACAGGGCCGGTGCCGGTGGCTCACACCTGTAATCGTAGCTACTCAGGAGACTGAGATCTGAGGGTCATGGTTCAAAGCCAGGTTGGGTAGAAAAGTCTGGGAGACTTTCACACCCACTGAACTACTCAGAAAAATCCAGAAGTGGTGCTCTGCCTCAAGTGGTAGAGAGCTAGCAATGAACAAAAGAAGCTCAGGGACGGCGCCCAGGCCCTGAGTTCAAACCCAGGGACGGCGCCCAGGCCCTGAGTTCAAACCCAGGGATGGCGCTCAGGCCCTGAGTTCAAACCCAGGGATGGCACCCAGGCCTTGATTTCAAACCCAGGTATGGCGCCCAGACTCTTGAGTTCAAACCCAGGGACGGTGCCTAGACCCTGTGTTCAAACCCAGAACTGATTCAAGAAAAAGATAAAACTGGTGAACATGAACAAATCAAATAAGAAAACATTTAAAAAAGAAGAAAGCCAGGCGCTGATGGCTCACGCCTGTAATCTTAGCTACTCACAAGGCTGATATCTGAGGATCACGGTTCAAAGCCAGCCCAGGCAAGAAAAGTCCGTGAAACTCTTATCTCCAATAAACCACTAGAAAACCAGAAGTGGCGCTGTGGCTCAAGTGGTAGAGTGCCAGCCTTGAGCTGAAGAGCCCAGGGACAGCGCCCAGGCCCAGAGTTCAAGCCCCACAACTGACAAAAAAAAAAGGAGAAGAAGAAAAGCTGAAAAAATTAATAAAAGTGAGCATTGTTATTGAAATAGAAAAATGATAGAACTAATGAGTAAATCTAACACTGGATCTTTAAAAATAAATCATAAAGATTTAAATACTAGATAATCCCATCTAGAGAAAAAGAAAACACCAAATTCAAGAAAAAGAGGAAATAAACATGGGCAGAGAGGAAATGAAAGGCTTGCCAGAGTACCTGACTCCTTCCAAGACAAATATGGGGGTAAAATGGATGTTCTAGGCATTTATCATTTATCCCTACAGTTGGGATAAATGTGTCTGAAAGGCTGGGGGGGCGTGGTCCCGGCCTGGCTCTGGGGGGGGGGGGCAGACGTCTTCAGGTCAACGAGGTGTCCCTGGGGTCCTGGGTCTGTTCTACCCAGGCTCCTGATACAAGGCGTTGCCACATCAAAGCAACAGAGAGCAACCATGGACTGTCACCTTCCCGCTGGGGACCAAAGGAGACCTTTCCTCTTGGTAAGCTGATCTCAGGCACTTGCAATAGTGACAGGCGGGGCCTTGGGAGGTTCTGGGTGTGTCCTGGGCAGGACCGGGAATTGCGTGGCGTCTATTCCCGGGCCTGGCGAGTGACCCGGGGACTGCAGGGGACTGGCACTGCCGGGGCCTTGGAAACGAGAGAACGGAGCAGAGCCCCGGCGTGGTGGGTGTTGGAGGCCTCGGGAGCTGGATGCCTGGCCTTTTCCCAGACAGATACAAACAGAAGCAATCAGTGAGAACAAATAAGCACAGCAGTGTAAAAGGATGCATTAATGTGTCCTGTTTAAAAGAAGTTTAAATTTTCAGTGAAAATAGAAACAGGGAGTATAATGAGAAGTATGCAATAAAATAGCATGAATTCTAAGATTATAATTTGAACAACTATTAAGAGTTTCCCTTTTAAAACAGAGAATTGTGACCTGATCTGATCATCACTGGGCAACAAAACCCGATAAGCTATGGATAAAAACAACAACAAAAAACATTTAAAATAAAAGCATGGAGAAATGACATACCAGACAAAAGCCCTGGAAATGTCAGGGTTGCAAACGCTAGTGTCTGCTGGGGCGGAACCTGGGGCAGCAGATGCTGTGGGTGCACGGCTGGCACAGGGCTGGGTGAGCGCCCGGTGCTGCGCTCGGAGGCCCTGTCCTCCGCTCTCCACCGCGGGGTGCGGATGCTCAGAGCCTCCCAGGCTGGACAGGCCACAGGCAGTGACAGCCAACGCAGCCGGCACTGACCAAGAGCTCTTCCTCTGTTTTCGACGTCCTCTCACCTGTCTGGGCAAGCCGGCCAGAGGGCCTGTGCTCTGGGGCTGTGGGCGGATGCCACACTGTGCCAAGCACCTCGCTGCCCATGCCTTTAACCAACGTGGATGGTCCCGCCAGTTTCGGGTCACAGGGCAGCCTGGGGGCTGTGCGCTCAGCCCATCCACTGAGCGCGAGCCCCTCCGCTGGCCCCACCCCTTTTCAGCCCCATGTGGTTGAAATGGGCCCAGCTGCATCACCACCTTAAAGTCCGTTGGGTAAAACCCTTCAACAACCTGCAGCCTCGACACCTCCGGCGGTGTCATGTCCTGAGATCGGCCAGAGATCAGGATGGCACATCTCTGGACATTGCCAGCCTGCCTCCGAGCTCAGGTCAGTGACAATGCTGAGGCTGGGGACGTGGCGCCGGCCGGCTGGAATGCCACACGCAGAACCTCCACTAGAAACCTCTGCCTGTGCAGACAGTAGAGAAAACGAATGATGTCACATGTCAGGATTCACGGGAACAGCTGAGGTAGCACACGAACTCGCTTCTCAGGTGAGAACAGAAGTGGTCACACAAGTCTAGTAACCGAAGAAAGAACACTGTCCTGGACGAGTGCGATTAATGAGAAAAAAGGTGAAAAAAGTACCGCAAAAGTCAGTAAGATAGAGGACGATACATATTAATAGCAAAAGCCAAAGGCGGTACTCAGAAAACATCAATACGACACATAAACTGTGAAAATACGGAGCAAAAACAAAGAGGAAGATTCAAATAGAGAGGCTAAATCAAAATGAACCACCACAGAAAGACCCAGAAACTCACAAGGCTATGATTATTAGCTGCATTTAAAATTTTCCAAGTCCAAGGTCAGTTAAAAGAAAACCCTGAACTTCTGAAGTGGACGGGGCAGCTGAAGTGGACAACCCGGGGGGCAGGGCAGCTGAAGTGGACAACCCGGGGGGCAGGGCAGCTGAAGTGGACACCCCGGGGGACGGGGCAGCTGATGTGGACACCCCGGGGGACGGGGCAGCTGACGTGGACACCCCGGGGGGCAGGGCAGCTGAAGTGGACACTCCGGGGGACGGGGCGGGGCAGCTGACGTGGACACCCCGGGGGACGGGGCAGCTGACGTGGACACCCCGGGGGGCGGGGCAGCTGAAGTGGACACCCCGGGGGGCAGGGCAGCTGAAGTGGACACCCCGGGGGATGGGGAGGGGCAGCTGACGTGGACACCCCGGGGGACAGGGCAGCTGAAGTGGACACCCCGGGGGACGGGGCAGCTGACGTGGACACCCCGGGGGATGGGGCAGCTGATGTGGACACCCCAGGGGGCGGGGCAGCTGAAGTGGACACCCCGGGGGGCGGGGCAGCTGACGTGGACACCCGGGGGATGGGGCAGCTGAAGTGGACACCCCGGGGGACGGGGCAGCTGACGTGGACACCCCGGGGGACGGGGCAGAGCAGCTGACGTGGACACCCCGGGGGACGGGGCAGCTGAAGTGGACACCCCGGGGGGCGGGGCAGCTGACGTGGACACCCGGGGGATGGGGCAGCTGAAGTGGACACCCCGGGGGACGGGGCAGCTGACGTGGACACCCCGGGGGACGGGGCAGAGCAGCTGACGTGGACACCCCGGGGGACGGGGCAGCTGAAGTGGACACCCCGGGGGACGGGGCAGGGCAGCTGAAATGGAGGAAGGGCAGAGGGACTGGCGTGGAGAAGGGCACGCAGGCAAAGGCGCAGGCCCCGGCTGGCTGGCTCACTGCCAGGGGCTGCACAGCTTGCGGCTCACGCTGGCGGGCTCAGTGATGGGCCCGGCCGGGCCGCACCGCACCGCGCAGCCACCGGTGCAGTGGCAGCAGCAGGAAAGCCAGGCGCGGCCGGGGCCCCACGTTTTGGTGGCTGCGCAACCATGGGCTGCTCAAGTGTCATTTAAAGTCACCTGGCAGCACGGGGATCAAAGCCCGTGCCTGTGTGAGAGAAGCCGCCGGACTCTACCAGCAGGGGGCGCAGTGAGGAGCCAGAGCCGGAGGGAGCGCACGACATTTATTGAATCTGAGGAGCACAGAGGGGCGTCCTGGCAACCCCGGATCCGCAGCCACGGGCACGCCCACCCCACCCTGCTGCCCCGACGCTCAGGGCCCTCTCCACGGGCTTCGGGGGAAAACAACAACCAAAAAACAACAACCCTGATTTCAGCGTGTGACCAGGGGTGGAAACAGGAGCCAAGACCACAGGTTCTAGGGGAAACTGAGTCAGGATGTGTGAGAGAGGAGGGTCTCAGAGCACAAGGGGCAGGTAAGCATCAAACCAACTCAAAACTGTCACGCGGACGCTGAGGAACGAACTTCTAAAACGTCACGGTGGGAACATAGGAGCACTAAAGTAAAGAGCATGCCCACACACGGAAACAGCTAAACTAACACCGAGCGCGGCGCCACGCCGCAGCGTGGCTGTGCAGGGGTCGCCTCTGTCGGTAAAGAGAACGCTCACTCAGCTCTGCGCAGAGGGCCGGCGTCAAGCAGCATGAACCGGCGAGCCGGCAGGGTTAGAGCCCGCCCATCCCCGTGACCTCAGACGTAAGCCTGCAACAGACAGAGGCAGGGATGAGGGCGCCACGCCGCACCTCGAGGGAGGGAGGAGAGCATCAGGCCAGACGCCAGAGCCTGCTGTCCGGCCCCAATCCCAGCCTATCGGGGCTCTATCGCACGGGTCCCGGGGCGGAGCCCCAGCCGGCAGCCGAGCAGCAAGGTCTGCACAGCCCTCTGAAGGTCAGCCCAGAGGTCTGTCACCAGAGCAGCGGGGACTGGGCATGGTGCCGGGGGGGGGGGGGATTTTGGGGGGGGGGGGGGGGCAGGGCGGCCTCCATCTCCACACGCACCCTGCCTGGCCCAGCCCAAGGCAGGGCCGGCACAGGCAGGAAGGAGGCCTAGCTTCAGGGGCAGAGACAGAGGCTGACTCGGGCTGGACTTGGGGTGGCCCCAGGGGCGGCCCACGGGTGTGCTGCCCACACTCCCACCGTGGAGGAGGGGAGCGCTTCCCCCGAGGGCGTGTGGGGCTGGCGGGGCGCCAGACAGAGGAAGGACCCTGCGGTGTGTGACAAGGAGTAATGAGAGCCACCGGCGGGCTCTCCTTCCCGCGGTGTGGCCCTGTGGCCCGGGGCCCTGGAGACGCTCACCTGGCGTTGATGAGATACTGGGCGAGGCTGATGTTAGCCGGGGTGCCGGTGATGGTGATCTGGCGCTCCGACGACCCCTCAGTGGCGTTGGCAATCTTGATCTGAGCGCCAGACATCTGTCGAATTTCGTTGATTTTGGTTCCTTGACGCCCAATTATGCAGCCTATTAGCTAGAGGAAGCAGGGGACTGTGTCAATAGACAAGCCCAGGACCCTGTAAGAACGCTGTGGCACTCACAGTGACCAGCACCAACCTTGCTCTCAGCCCATGCCCTCGACCCCGGCTGTCCGGGCCAGGTCCCGGCTCTGTCTGCCTGTCTCCCTCCCACGAGGATGACTGGGCGTAAGGCCTCATCGCATCACGCCTCCTCCAGGCTGATTACAGGCCAGGCCCCGGTCAGCACCTCTGCTGACCCGCAGGGTGAGGAAGGTCACAAATGCCAAGCCTGGGGACGTGTGGAGCTGCTACGGCCCGACTCCTCATGACCTGGGGATGCGCCTGAACTTCCTTTCCTCGCTACTGGTGGCCTCTGTTCAAAGATGGGTCAGTGGCCTGTGGCCGGCAGTGGGAGACTCTCCTCCCGTCCCCTCCCCTCCCACCTATGCGCTCCGCTGCTGCTGGCCAGAGCCTCCTGGGTCCCGCCACAGGCACTGGAGAGGCACCATGCTCAAACGTGGGGAGATGGTGAGGAGAGGCCCGCCATGCAGCCCCACCCTGGCTGGCTCCTTCCGGGTCCACCACGCCTGCTCCACTCGGGATGCTGGGCTCAATGACACGGAGCTCCGCCTCGTGCTCCACCGCTATGGAGGCCTGTGGAAATCATGTGGCCCTTCTGCTTAGACATTAGGGAACCTGCGGGCCATGTGGCAATCCTCCCGCCTGCCCCCTCCGGGAGCTGTGCAGGGGTCCTCACTCCTTTTCTAGATGAAGCCCTGGGAGAGGCATTACTCAGGACCAGAGAAAGCCTCATGGGCGGATGGAGAAGAGGTGGCCCCAGGACTGGACATCTCTGTGACTGAGAGCAAGTTCAGAGGTGAGCACTGGATGTCTCTGTGATCAAGAGCACGCTCAGAAGTAAGCAGCATGTCTCTGTGATCGAGAGCAAGTTCAGACGTGAGCACTGGACGTCTCTGTGCTCAAGAGCAAGTTCAGGGGGAGGGGGGACCAAGATGGCGACGGGGCAGTAGGGAAACGCCACAGCTCTCTCCAACCAAAAAGAGAGTTCGAGTTCCAACGC